CAGAACGTAGAATTTTGACAACCACCCCAAACTGAGTACAAACCGCTTTATGGAAGTTTTGAAACGCAGAAAAAATCTCACTTTTATCTTTCATCAAATAGACCCAACTCTTTATACATTCAATTTCAACAAAGGTAACAAACCATTTGTGACCGGTTAAAGACACAAAACGGGAAGGACCACATACATTAGAATGAATCAAAGAAAACGGAACTAAACTTTTATTAATAGAAGGAGCAAAAGAGGCTCTGTGTTGTTTGCCAAGTGGACAAGACTCATATTGAAAATCGGACACATTATTGTGCTTAAAAACAGAGGGAAATAAATGCTTAAGTAATAAAAAAGAGGGACGTCCTAAACGACGATGCCATAGCCAAATGTCTTCCTTGGTGGACGGTAACTGAATAGATGAATGAGTCAGTTTGTCGGGCTGATCCAGAATGTAGAGCCCATGTTCCTCTCTACCACTGCCAATTCTCTTCCTCGTGATAAGGTCTTGAAAAAGACAATGATCAGGAAAAATGTCACGCTACAATTTAAATCACGGGTAATACAACTCAAAAATAAAAGATTAACACTGAAATTGGGAACATGGAGAACAGAAGACAAAGGAAGGGAAAAGGTGGCATGAATTAAACCTTTCCCTGACACAGACGAAATGGTATCATCTGCAATACGCACTTTTTCCTGACCTGATGAGGGGTTATACTCTGAAAATAAATTAGAAGAGTCAGACATATGGTCGGAAGCACCAGAATCAATAATCCATGGGACAGTCATATGAGAGAGCAATGCATATGGGACCAAAGAGGTTGAGGACGGGGTTTGGTAGTTGGCAACTCTCGCCCTTGTGAGTCTTGTGAAGAAGATAATGCAACAACGATAGGCAAGAAGTCACTTTCTAATCATACTTCCAAGTGGATCCCTAAATAATCAGTTTAAACGATTCAAATTTACATGGTAGATTAGAATATTTTTACCAAAGAGGTTGAGGACGGGGTTTGGTAGTTGGCAACTCTCGCCCTTGTGAGTCTTGTGAAGAAGATAATGCAACAACGATAGGCAAGAAGTCACTTTCTAATCATACTTCCAAGTGGATCCCTAAATAATCAGTTTAAACGATTCAAATTTACATGGTAGATTAGAATATTTTTACCAAAGAGGTTGAGGACGGGGTTTGGTAGTTGGCAACTCTCGCCCTTGTGAGTCTTGTGAAGAAGATAATGCAACAACGATAGGCAAGAAGTCACTTTCTAATCATACTTCCAAGTGGATCCCTAAATAATCAGTTTAAACGATTCAAATTTACATGGTAGATTAGAATATTTTTACCAAAGAGGTTGAGGACGGGGTTTGGTAGTTGGCAACTCTCGCCCTTGTGAGTCTTGTGAAGAAGATAATGCAACAACGATAGGCAAGAAGTCACTTTCTAATCATACTTCCAAGTGGATCCCTAAATAATCAGTTTAAACGATTCAAATTTACATGGTAGATTAGAATATTTTTACCAAAGAGGTTGAGGACGGGGTTTGGTAGTTGGCAACTCTCGCCCTTGTGAGTCTTGTGAAGAAGATAATGCAACAACGATAGGCAAGAAGTCACTTTCTAATCATACTTCCAAGTGGATCCCTAAATAATCAGTTTAAACGATTCAAATTTACATGGTAGATTAGAATATTTTTACCAAAGAGGTTGAGGACGGGGTTTGGTAGTTGGCAACTCTCGCCCTTGTGAGTCTTGTGAAGAAGATAATGCAACAACGATAGGCAAGAAGTCACTTTCTAATCATACTTCCAAGTGGATCCCTAAATAATCAGTTTAAACGATTCAAATTTACATGGTAGATTAGAATATTTTTACCAAAGAGGTTGAGGACGGGGTTTGGTAGTTGGCAACTCTCGCCCTTGTGAGTCTTGTGAAGAAGATAATGCAACAACGATAGGCAAGAAGTCACTTTCTAATCATACTTCCAAGTGGATCCCTAAATAATCAGTTTAAACGATTCAAATTTACATGGTAGATTAGAATATTTTTACCAAAGAGGTTGAGGACGGGGTTTGGTAGTTGGCAACTCTCGCCCTTGTGAGTCTTGTGAAGAAGATAATGCAACAACGATAGGCAAGAAGTCACTTTCTAATCATACTTCCAAGTGGATCCCTAAATAATCAGTTTAAACGATTCAAATTTACATGGTAGATTAGAATATTTTTACCAAAGAGGTTGAGGACGGGGTTTGGTAGTTGGCAACTCTCGCCCTTGTGAGTCTTGTGAAGAAGATAATGCAACAACGATAGGCAAGAAGTCACTTTCTAATCATACTTCCAAGTGGATCCCTAAATAATCAGTTTAAACGATTCAAATTTACATGGTAGATTAGAATATTTTTACCAAAGAGGTTGAGGACGGGGTTTGGTAGTTGGCAACTCTCGCCCTTGTGAGTCTTGTGAAGAAGATAATGCAACAACGATAGGCAAGAAGTCACTTTCTAATCATACTTCCAAGTGGATCCCTAAATAATCAGTTTAAACGATTCAAATTTACATGGTAGATTAGAATATTTTTACCAAAGAGGTTGAGGACGGGGTTTGGTAGTTGGCAACTCTCGCCCTTGTGAGTCTTGTGAAGAAGATAATGCAACAACGATAGGCAAGAAGTCACTTTCTAATCATACTTCCAAGTGGATCCCTAAATAATCAGTTTAAACGATTCAAATTTACATGGTAGATTAGAATATTTTTACCAAAGAGGTTGAGGACGGGGTTTGGTAGTTGGCAACTCTCGCCCTTGTGAGTCTTGTGAAGAAGATAATGCAACAACGATAGGCAAGAAGTCACTTTCTAATCATACTTCCAAGTGGATCCCTAAATAATCAGTTTAAACGATTCAAATTTACATGGTAGATTAGAATATTTTTACCAAAGAGGTTGAGGACGGGGTTTGGTAGTTGGCAACTCTCGCCCTTGTGAGTCTTGTGAAGAAGATAATGCAACAACGATAGGCAAGAAGTCACTTTCTAATCATACTTCCAAGTGGATCCCTAAATAATCAGTTTAAACGATTCAAATTTACATGGTAGATTAGAATATTTTTACCAAAGAGGTTGAGGACGGGGTTTGGTAGTTGGCAACTCTCGCCCTTGTGAGTCTTGTGAAGAAGATAATGCAACAACGATAGGCAAGAAGTCACTTTCTAATCATACTTCCAAGTGGATCCCTAAATAATCAGTTTAAACGATTCAAATTTACATGGTAGATTAGAATATTTTTACCAAAGAGGTTGAGGACGGGGTTTGGTAGTTGGCAACTCTCGCCCTTGTGAGTCTTGTGAAGAAGATAATGCAACAACGATAGGCAAGAAGTCACTTTCTAATCATACTTCCAAGTGGATCCCTAAATAATCAGTTTAAACGATTCAAATTTACATGGTAGATTAGAATATTTTTACCAAAGAGGTTGAGGACGGGGTTTGGTAGTTGGCAACTCTCGCCCTTGTGAGTCTTGTGAAGAAGATAATGCAACAACGATAGGCAAGAAGTCACTTTCTAATCATACTTCCAAGTGGATCCCTAAATAATCAGTTTAAACGATTCAAATTTACATGGTAGATTAGAATATTTTTACCAAAGAGGTTGAGGACGGGGTTTGGTAGTTGGCAACTCTCGCCCTTGTGAGTCTTGTGAAGAAGATAATGCAACAACGATAGGCAAGAAGTCACTTTCTAATCATACTTCCAAGTGGATCCCTAAATAATCAGTTTAAACGATTCAAATTTACATGGTAGATTAGAATATTTTTACCAAAGAGGTTGAGGACGGGGTTTGGTAGTTGGCAACTCTCGCCCTTGTGAGTCTTGTGAAGAAGATAATGCAACAACGATAGGCAAGAAGTCACTTTCTAATCATACTTCCAAGTGGATCCCTAAATAATCAGTTTAAACGATTCAAATTTACATGGTAGATTAGAATATTTTTACCAAAGAGGTTGAGGACGGGGTTTGGTAGTTGGCAACTCTCGCCCTTGTGAGTCTTGTGAAGAAGATAATGCAACAACGATAGGCAAGAAGTCACTTTCTAATCATACTTCCAAGTGGATCCCTAAATAATCAGTTTAAACGATTCAAATTTACATGGTAGATTAGAATATTTTTACCAAAGAGGTTGAGGACGGGGTTTGGTAGTTGGCAACTCTCGCCCTTGTGAGTCTTGTGAAGAAGATAATGCAACAACGATAGGCAAGAAGTCACTTTCTAATCATACTTCCAAGTGGATCCCTAAATAATCAGTTTAAACGATTCAAATTTACATGGTAGATTAGAATATTTTTACCAAAGAGGTTGAGGACGGGGTTTGGTAGTTGGCAACTCTCGCCCTTGTGAGTCTTGTGAAGAAGATAATGCAACAACGATAGGCAAGAAGTCACTTTCTAATCATACTTCCAAGTGGATCCCTAAATAATCAGTTTAAACGATTCAAATTTACATGGTAGATTAGAATATTTTTACCAAAGAGGTTGAGGACGGGGTTTGGTAGTTGGCAACTCTCGCCCTTGTGAGTCTTGTGAAGAAGATAATGCAACAACGATAGGCAAGAAGTCACTTTCTAATCATACTTCCAAGTGGATCCCTAAATAATCAGTTTAAACGATTCAAATTTACATGGTAGATTAGAATATTTTTACCAAAGAGGTTGAGGACGGGGTTTGGTAGTTGGCAACTCTCGCCCTTGTGAGTCTTGTGAAGAAGATAATGCAGCAATGATAGGCAAGAAATCACTCTCTAATCATACTTCCAAGTGGACCCCTAAATAATCAATTTAAATGACTCAAAAATTTTCTATCACCATCTAATTTCGTTGGATAAGCTGTCCTTGTATCACTAACAGAATAAGGTTTACAGATTCTTATTGTCATATTTTCTTAATTCTCATAGAGTACTTGCTGCATTATGAACTTCTATTTAGGAATTAATTTATTAATGGAAAGATTTGATTCAATGTATTGCAGGTCAACAACACAGATGCTGAAGGCAGACTTACACTTGCGGATGCTCTGGTATATGCCTGTAACCAAGGTGTAGAGAAGGTACTATCTAAATTCAGTACCATATTTACATATATATTCTCTATTGCTTTAAGGGGAAGGCGGGATGGTTTGGAGGCTAAGAATGCAGACACTTCTAAGAAGGTGCTGCATTGTGTTTAGACACCGACACTACTTGACATTCATTGGATACTTCCCAGCCACATGTCATACTATTTTTAAAATTTTTCTAGACTCAGGCATGCTTAAAAAGACAGGCAAAGAACACATGTTTCTATTGCTTCGACGCACATGAAACACATTCAACTTTGAATATCAACTTGGAATTCAATGATAAAAGAAAAATAATGTAAATTTATATGCATTCTCTACCTCTAGACTTAAAAAATTATTATATTTGAATTAAATATTCAAATAAATGACATATAATCATTGTTTATCCTTATATATGGCATATAATGAATATTTATATAATAATAAAAAAAACGCTCAATTAGTGCACATTAATGTGTGTTTGGAAGGGGAAAGATTGAGTATACACCTAACCTTTAGCATAATGCGCAAAATGGTGGTCTCAAGACTTGAACCTATAAACTCCAGGTAATTAGGCCAAGTCTTAACCATTGAACCAATTTTCATCCCTATATAATGAATATATATAACTATATATTTTGCGTGTGTCCCTCAACTATTGTGTTATACATTTTTTGAAAATTTGTGTCACTGTGTTCTTGTTGTGTCCCGTGCCCGTGCTCGCGTGCGTGCTTCTTAGCTTGGAAGTCAGGCCATTTAAGAATTTTATATTTCACAAAACACAGTGGTTCATTTTTATCACCCTTTTTCTAAGCATTTGTTCCATCTTTAAAATGTCCAGTTTTTAATTTCAGAGCTGTGCTGACACTATGTTCAATTGTTTTGCAGATAGTTGATCTAGCAACATTAACTGGGGCATGTGTGGTTGCTCTTGGGCCCTCAATTGCAGGTATCTGCATTTACAAAATTTCTTCATTGATTTGGAATAATGAATTAATGCCCCTGCTAGGAATCAGTTTAGTTTTGAGAATTATGCTGGAATATATTGTGACCTCATCAGGAAAAAACCAAAGATGATCATCAGTAGGAGTACAAATGAATGTTATGGACTGTTAAAAAAATGATGTATGTTTTAGAAGAAAACGTATGATATCATTATGTAATTTTTTGGAGTTGAATTGGATTATCGGACCCCTGTAGATGGGATAGCCATGAATAATTTGCACAATTACTCGAGGATAAATTACACAAGTAGTTCCCAAAGTATGCATTCTGTTACAATTTAGACCCAAAGTATGCGATTTGTTACACTTTAGGTCCCTAGCATCAACATCATTCAAAATCAGCAACAGGAGGAGGGGTAACAAAACAAAAAACAAAAAAAACAACAAAAAAATTAAAAGATTTAAGATGAAAATTTAAGAAAGTGCATATCTTGGAGATTAAAATAAAACAAATTGCATATTTTAATAACCAAATGCTGAAAATGCATACTTTGAGACCATGTGTGTATTTGGTCATTCAGTTTTTGTTGAGGTTTCATGTAAAAAATACATCTCCTCTTGTTACTAATTTTGAATAGCAGTGACGACATAGACTAAGTGTAACAGATTTCATGGTTTGGGGACCAAAGTGGAACTAAAAGATTAGGGACTAGAGTGTGACAGAACATATACTTTTGGGACCATTTGTGTAATTAACACATTACTTAATGGACTTGGGGAATTTTATTGGAATAGTGTCTCAGGGACAAGAATTGAACTTTTTTGGGTTCTCTTTTGGGATTATTTTTAGCTGGTCAATGCCCCATTGATATGATAACTTACATGTGGCATTCACACTCATTGACAGAAATGGCAAACAATTCTAAAACTTTTGAGTCGTCATCTGACCATCTTTTCTTGATCGATATCTTATGTTTAATAAACAGGTGTCTTTACGCCTAGTGACGACCTTGCAAAGGAGGTACTTGCAGCTTCAGAGGTTGCTGGGGAAAAGCTTTGGAGGATGCCTTTGGAGGAAAGTTATTGGGAGTCCATGAAATCCGGAGTTGCTGATATGGTCAACACTGGTGGTCGTCAAGGTGGTGCCATCACTGCAGCCCTTTTCTTGAAACAGGTATAGGGCCTTATCCATCTATCTGCGTGCTTTTACTAGTTGAGTCATAATGGTTTTGATTTGCAAGAAAATCCTATAGCAGAGCTTCATGAAAAAGGACAAGACCCATAGTTCAAAGGTGTTGCAGTGTCACAACTTTATTATTGAACACTCAAACTCGTGGTCAATTGGGCATAATGTCATGACCCTGAACTATAATCCTATTTAGTACTTCATGGTAAATTACAAATTACTCCCTCTGTCCCATTTTGTTAGTCCTTTTTCCCATTTTAGGATGTCCCAAAATGTTAGTCCTATTTGAAAAGTAAAGTAAAAAATATTTAGCTTTCCAAAACTACCCTTTTTAAATAGTTAGAAATATATTAAAAATTGAAAAACAGAAGCGCATTATTGGAATAATTGCTCTAAAATTTGAATTCAAATGCAATGATTATATGTCCCCTAAAAAAGTTAGAATTTCTAAAAGGACTATCAAAATTAGACGGAGGGTGTAGATGCAAATATCTAATTATATTGTGTAATGGCTTACATGACTCGCATGCTACACACTACATTGCATCAAGACAATTTACTTGTTTGTTTCCTATACGTAGTGTGGTTAGAAGTTGAGATTTTTGGAGGGGTTTGGCGGGGAAGGAAAGGGCGATAAGGGTAATATTTTTTGTAATTTATCAATTGCTTGATTCTTGATGGGTTTCTTGCAAGTTTCAACATATTTTAGTTCTTGTTGTGTGCATAAATCTGTTTCTGTTGTCAAATATCTTTGATGCAAAATGTACTCGTGGAGAAACTAAATTGAGAATATTTGTTCTGCCTGAATTTAAGGCTGCAACCGGTTCACAAAATCCCAATGCCATTTTATTTTTTTAACTTTATCAATCACTTGGAGACCGCATAAAAGTTGTAGCACTCTGATGCTTGTTTGCTAAGAAGTGTAGACACGCTACACGACACGGGTATAACACAAGCACAATGATGCAACAATTTTAAAAAAATAGAGGACATAAAACATTGGAAACATGCTCTAAATATCTAGTTTTATTTATTATTTATATGTATATATATTTCATTCAAGATATAAAACAATTGAACATAAATTCTAATTCTTAAAGTCTTATAAAGGAGGTGGGTTTAATTAGATGATGTGCCTACCTTGAAGATGATGTGTCTACCTTGTTTTTCTTTTACCATTGAATCCCAAATTATTTTCATGTGTCTAAACAGTGGGCATGTGTATCACCAAGTTTCTGATGCGAGCCTAGGACTAAAGAACTTTAAAAAATAATATGTTTGGATGTGTGTTTGACGTGTGTCAGGAAGTGTCCAACAACTGTCGCTGTGCAACACGTGTCCGATATAGACACATCATCTTCTTAAAAGTGTTCGAGTATCTTATGTTCATGCAAAGTTTTTCTTGGTTTGTAGTAGCCTAAGAAAATTTGACATTGTGACCTTTTTTTTTTTTTTGCAGTTTGTTAGTGAGAAGGTTCAATGGATGCACATTGACATGGCTGGCCCCGTCGCAAGTGATAAAAAGAGACTTGCAACAGGATTCGGCATTTCAACTCTGGTTGAATGGGTTATGAAAAACTCTTCTTGATTACAGTGTAAAATTTACAGTTGAGTGGCAAAACGACATCCCAACAGATGGACATGATCAAAGGAGAATCTTAATTGTGTGTTGGGGGGGGGGTTCGTTTGGTGCAGTGAGATCGTGAATTATTCAAATAAAAATTATTAAAATAAAAACCATTATGAATGAAATGTAACGATGAGCTCAGTTGTTCAGAGTTTGCTTCAGTGAATTATGATTATTTGATGTTCCTTTTCCTTATTCTAAAGGGTTTGTGGAATGGTTTGTCTACGGCTCGAGTTTTTTTTTTTTATTTATTTATTTTATGAAATATATGTTTATGGAATGGATATAAATGCTGCTTGTTTTGTGGGTGGTTCGATTACTATTCAATGGGAGGTGGGAGAGAAAATTATCAAAAGGTGAGAATCTTTTGAGTGTAACTCTTGCTGTGTTTTTTTACACAAGAAAAGAGTTGCACTCCCATGATTTTGCAAATATTTTTAATCAAATAGGTTGAATTGTAAATTCTTAAAAATAATTAGGTATATTGACCTTATAAACCCAAAATAGGATGGTGATATTATATCTTCCATTATTTGGAATTGGAGAAGTTGATCAATTTTACTAACATTCCCTCTATTTTGCGTAGTTTTGAGTTTGGTTTTAACTGGGTTTTTTTCTTGAAACTCTGAGAAATAGTATGGTAATGTGATTTTTGTAATTACGAGCTATATTAATGGTGCTTGATTCAAGGTTATTTACACGGCGATATTCTAAATTATTGAGAAGTATGATGTGTTAGTTATAAAAATATATAAATGGACCTTCTAAGCTATTGAGAAATATTATTTTGATATCGTAAACTATAAAAAACGTATAAATGGACAACCTAAATTATTGAGAAGTATTACTTTAATCTCGTAAACTATAAAAATGTACAAATGGACCTCCTTTGTCCCCTTAATAATAAAAGCATATAAATAGACTCAATAAACTATAAAAACGTATAAATGAACTCTCTAAGTTATTGTCGTATTTTATTTTGACCCCTTTTGGAGATTCAATTTGTATATTTTCATAGTTTATTGAGTCTATTTGTATGTTTTTATTATTGAGGGGATAAAGGGGTTCATTTATACGTTTTTATTGTTTAAGGGACAAAGTGTTTATAATATAGGGTGACACGGATAGGCCCACAAGGCATACGGCCCACAGCAAACCACCCCAAACCCATCGCTTGGGACCAATGGCATAACTCGGTTGGCAAAGTCCAGGACAGCTGGAGGCCATCTAGACATGGAGGGCCAATGGCATTTGGGCACATGGCAGGTGGGACACGGGCCACATCAGCAGACAAAGATCTGCAGAGTTATTATCACAACACATCACCATTAATGCGTCCCATCACAGCATTTATTACGACAACACCCCTCCGTCGGAACAGAGCCCCATCACCCCGAACAAGGTAAGCTACGGCACAGGCTTTCGGCGAAAGGAAGCACGTCACAAGAGACAGGGAAATGATGACCAAAGGATATAAGCAAGGATAGAAAGACAAGAATAAGGTTAAGTTATCTCTCTCTTGATCCCTCTCTCCATATTCCCTACTTCTTCCTCTACTAATTCTCACGCCGGAGGGTTCACTGGGGGACTGCCCCGTTCCCCTTTGGGCTTGCATGCAGGTCATTTGACGGAATCATCACCCCGAACCGGAACCTGAAGAGCCTGGACCAGTCCGACCCATTCACCCGGGAAGAAGAACGTTATCAGTTGGCGCCGTCTGTGGGAACTTAGTGGTTTATCCGTGCGCTAGTTGTGTTCACTACCGCCGGAGCCCTCCCTTCTCACCATCACCTTTCCCTCTTGCCCGTCCAGGTGTATGGTCACGACTAGGTCCATGGCTTCTCACCACAACGCCGCCGATCACCAAACAGATCCCTCCCACCCAACCAACCCACCACAGTACATCATCGAGCTCACCAACAGCATTAACCGCATGGCCGAGCAAAACCAGGCCCTGATCAATGCGTTACTCCAAAGAAACCCCCCCGTTCCACCTCCAAACATTCCACCCAACCAAGGGACAACCCCAGGCCATACTGCTCCACAGCCCCCTCCGCCTAACCCAGAAGGTTCGCAGCTCCTTCCTCCCCAACATGAAAACCTACCACCCCCACCTCCACGCTCGCCAGTCGCAGCACTGGCTCCTGAGGGGGAAGCTAGCAGTGTCCAGCCTCCATTGACCGACCATGGCGACAACATTCCCCTCTGGGACGCTGAAATCCGAGCTATGAAACTCCAACTACAAGGGGTCATGCAGAACATTCAGCACAAGCCCTCAGTCACCACCAACTCGCCTTTTGTTGCCTCCAACCGCGACAAACCATTGCCTGCCAAGTTCAAGATGCCTACCGTTGACTCCTTCGATGGCACGACGGACCCAGTCGACCATCTGGAAACCTACCGCACCCTCATGGTCCTCCATGCCTTTCCTGATGAGATCATGTGCCGAGCTTTTCCAGTGACACTGAAGGGATCAGCTCGGCTGTGGTTTAGCCAACTACCGGCGGACTCCGTCTCCACCTTTCAACACCTCAGTGACTCCTTCCTGAGCCACTTTATTGGAGCCTAGCGTCAGAGACGCCCAGCCACCCAGCTCCTTAACATTCGTCAGACCGAAGGCGAGTCGCTCCGCAGCTTTGTCACCCGGTTCAACACCGAAGACCTTCAAGTAGCGGAGAATGACGACAAGGTCATCCTCACCGCTTTCATGGCCCGCCTGCGGTCGTCTGATTTCCTTTTCTCCCTCTCCAAAAACCCTCCAACCACCATGGTAGCTCTGCTATCCAAAGCCCAGAAATACATGAATGCTGAAGATTCCCTGGCCGCTCGGCAAGAGCCGACCCCTAAAAATCCGACCCCCAGAGAAAAGAGGAAAGACTCCGAGCCCAGAACCGCCCAGTATAACAGCCAAACACCCCACTATAATGACCGACCCCTCCGAACCGACCGGTCGACTCCGACCAGACCGCCCGGTCGGTTTGGGCGGTACACACCTCTCAACTCCCCCATGGAGCACGTCCTCAATCAAATCCAGCGGGACTACCCCCTCAAGTGGCCCCTACCGTCCCAAAACCCTTCCACCCGGAAAGATCAGTCCAAATACTGCCGCTTCCACCAAGACCATGGCCATACTACCGACGAGTGCATTAACCTCAAAGACCAGGTCGAGACCTTCATCCGCCAGGGCCACCTCAACCGATTCACAGACCCCCGCCCCGCAAGATAATCACTCTATGTGCTCGGTTAAGAGAGCAAGTAAGAGTCGTCCTTGCGCTTGGGCGGACGTAATATACACATGCCGTGCTATGGCATCGTTCTGATTGGGTGGTCCGAGGATCGATGTACTTCGACAAAATAGAGTTCCATCTACAAGGCTTACCTATGACTCAAGTCGTCCTCAGTCTCGAACGTTAACAAAGCCCTTCTGAATGATCATGGCCTCTTTTAGCTTGACTTCTGTGATGAGCGACATAACACTCCCCTGGCACGGATTTGTTCTCGCTTTGACAGTATCCGACACCGAGATCAGGTAGGAAATTTCATGGCCAGATGATATGTGGATGTGATGGCTTGGAAGGCATTTAGGGCTGGGCGGCCAAGATAATGTTGTAAGCGGAGGGGCAAGTCGACCACAAGGAAGGTGAGGCAACTTAGTGGTCTGCCGCGGGTGCTCGCCGATGGTGATAGGCAGATCGATGGAGCCGATGGAGGCTCACTCGGTCGCCGGTGATGCCGACCAGAGGGGTTTGGAGACGAGAGACAAGCTCTCCTCCCCGATCTTGAGTTGGCGAAGCAATTGAGGAAGATGATGTCTGAAGAGCTGCCGTGTCTATGAGGACTCGTCTGACCTTGTAGTTGGAGAGGATGGCGGAAATACAAGGGGTCATCATGTGGGTAACAGACTCCTGCACAGTCGGTGTCGGTGAAGGTGATGGGGTTCGATCCATTGTTTTGACTGTTTGGGAGGTCGGTCCACCGTCGCCACTGCTTTGTCTGAGCCCTTGGCCTGATTTTTCTGAGTTCTGCCTTCTGAGCCGAGCGGGATGGCCCCCCGCAAGGCAAGGCCCCCGAAATGACTCTGATTTCCTCCGACTGGTGGATGGGGGGGGGGGGATTGCCCGGAGGGCCGAGGCTGTTAGGTGGCGAGCGATCGTGGCCTTCGTTTGGTGGGGGCTTTGAAATTGCGGGGTGGTGTGCCGTCGGCGATTGTTCCTGGGAGGTCAGTTCTTTGCCTCTGTGCGT